GTTTCTTCGGGTTCTGCTGTGTCATAACTTGCCCTCTGTTCTTCATCGGGTCTTTATTTTGAGCCTGCAGCCATTACAAAGGCCACCTAGCAACAAGTGGCACAGTTAGAGTAATATTATGTAGCCAAGTGTTTGGTGTCATCATATTAAAAAAAAAAAAAAAAAAGCCCCCGGGCACATTTCAGCATCTTGTTTACAACTTTGAAGGTTCAAAGCCGCGGAAAAAATATCAGGGAAAGCCATTTGGAGAACGTGCCGTTGAAACAGCGGAAACATTCCTCCGAGGGCCTCGCCAACCGCCGCTAATGTAATATATAGCTCAAAGCGTAGCCGGGAGCTGATAAAACGAGACGCGTTGGCACGGGCGTGTGTCAGACTCTAGACTTACACAGTGGAACCTCTCAGGGCCAGCGCGGTTCGTTCCAGGATAACCGGACTTGTTTTGATGTCGCAACATTTTTTTTCTTTTTTTTTTTTTGCCTGTAGGGAGGAATGGAAATAACGCCTCATTAATGCTCTTCTTGACTGCACGTGTCAAATATTTAAGTTGATGTTGCCGTGACGTCATACGAGTGTAATTGTGAGGCAAGTCTCCGCACGTAAACGTTGATGACTTTCTGGTGTTCTTTTCGGAGTGGCGGAGGACATGTGGCCAGCCGTCCACATCAAAGCGTATGGTCACATCGACCCCCCCTTTCCCCACCCGACCGATCAAAAAACATTTAACACTTCACAAATTGTGGTGACTTCATCTTCCTCAACTCTCACACACTTACCTTCGTGTCTGACCAGTTCCTTCTGCACCGAAAAGCATTACAGTGATGCATTTTTCAGAAAACCGGCTTGCCTAAATCGATCTCACCTCACTATTTTCACTTGCTAGCCTAAAAAACACATCCAGACGTTCAATCTTGTGGTCACATAATGTTCCACAGCTGTATACTTCAATCACTTGAGTGTCCAAGAGAGCCGTTTGATTTGTAATGAAGCTATTTCCAATTGAATAGCTCATAAAAAACATAACAATGCAGGGACAGACCGAAACGAGCATTTTATGATTAAAATACGACTAATATGGTTTCCGCCGGACAGCAACAATTTATGCGATGTGTGGAAAAAAAAATTCTAAGATACAGAAACATGAGTTCAACAAAAAAAAAGGAAAGATATAAATGCAGTATAAATGTATAAATAAATACAGATTAAATATTGATTCAATATTTTGTGCTTAAAAAAAGGCTTATTTTTATCCAATTTTGTTGATTTTTTTCGTGTCTAACGAAAAGCATGAAATCTGGGTTGAAATCTGATTGGCGAATTAAAACCAAATGAAATTAAACAAATTTAACTAAAAGTGACTTGAGCCTGCATTATTGATTGCGAAGACCCCCGACTGATTAGTTTCACATAGGATCACATTGACGCTGAAATCTAATTGGACAAAAAAAAAAAAAAAGACCTCTACACGGCCCTACTTGAAGCAGAGCCGCTATGAAATGAAGAGAATAGACTGTTGAATTCAGTTTGTAAAAATGTAGGTCAGCGCTTCTGCCCGCCCACTGCGTTTACATATAGCCCACCTCACGAAACTAAAGGCCCCAGTTTTGTTGCGTTCATGATAGCCCGAGACCAAACTCAAACACGCTGATCTGAAAAGTGTGCATGTTGTGGTGGGAAGGCGTGACTTCAACACTTTGAAATGTGCAGGCCATTACACAGGGGGCTCTCTGTCGCGGCGACGTCACCGATGACATCAGCGAGCGTGGCGTGATGGAAGCACCCGCTCTGGGAACAAGAGGTGCACTTTCCACGAGTGCGTCACGCACTTCCTTCGGCCGCCCCCCCCCCCCCCCCCCTCCCGACCCTTTCAACTGCCTGGCATGACACCACCTGTCGACTTCACAGGTGCCGGCTACATTTAGACGGCGCGGTGATGTCACAGGGGGCCAGCTCATGACCCAATCCAGACTCGGGGAACAACTTTTTGCGGTAATTGTTAGCTGCCATCGGCAATTTGACCGGGACTGCCGCCATTTACGTATTATTACTCCGACAGACTTGACTCACCCATTTCTGAATTTGGTCGGAATTTTAATACTACAGTGGTACCTCTACTTACGAAATTAAGAGGTTCTGGAAGAAATTTCTTAACTAGAAAAGTTTGTAAGTAGAGACGCGTTTTCCATGTAAATGCCGTAATTCGTTCCAAGCCCCCCAAAAAATGTTTCCTAAATCATAAAAATGCATCAAAATATGTAACAAAGACATGTTACAAAAAACCGAAAAAAAAACCCCATTAAAATTTAGGGCATACGAAACCTTGTATCGACAGTACAGTATATTTAACCCTTTCATGCACCGATAATGAGAACCTGATCACATGATAAGCTGCCCACTGTAGTAACCCCCGTCCTCGAAAGGGTTAAACAAAAAAAATGTTCAACAATATTTCGTCTGCTAAGCGTAATGTGAAACCTCGCATGCCCCAAAAATTTACATAGATGTTAGCGATGATTATAAAACCTTCAAATTTCCATACATGGGGCAGGAACACAATGTTCACAGTATTTCTAGCATAGGGTTCAGCGTACTGTATCTTCCAAGTCGGATCTGTTATTCTAAGGGGAGAAGATTATCACATGCTGAACTTTGCACGTAACAGCTGACATGTTTTTCGACGGAATCGGCTCCCCAGTCAAGCTGCTTCCGCCCGATATCCTCGGGTTGAAGTTCAGGCGGGGAGCCCTGCGGCCGCGACGATTGACAGGGCGCACGCTTTTGTGTTGCTTCCTACTGTGCCAATCCAGCGTAGAAAGGGAGAATTCGTCCTTATTAGGAAAAGAGCAGGCGCCCTTATATGGCATGCTTCCTGTAAATAGTAACAAGCCTGTCTGCTGGCTCTCTTCGCACATTCCTGCAGCTCCAGGTTTGTTCTTTTCTCCCCCCCTTCTCATTTCCGATGTGCTAGCTGGCTGGCCGGACGGCTGGCTGGCTGGCCGTGGAGCAGGCCTGCCTTTCATAAGAGTCTAGCCCGGTGTGTGATCCCTGCCACCCGGAAAAAAAAAATACACAAACTTCTGTCTAGCCTTTTTCCTCAAGTACTACTTAAGCCTGGCCCGGGTACATGTTGCACCTGGTCTTTCGGCCTTTTTTCATGTCACACCAAAAGCTCATTAGGCAGGTGAGCGGAGAACAAGGAGAGTTATTCCCGGCAATATGGCCGCACATTACTGTACGTGCTTGCCGCGCCGCGGCTGCGTTTTCGCTTAAATGGGTCCCTGGCCGCCATTTGTCCTGACTCGGGCGAGCTGAAAAACAGAACGTCTAAAGGTTCGCCTTGTACCAAACATACTTCTTTTATGTCAGACTTTGACGGCACTTTTGAAGTGGACCGCACGTTTGAAAAAGAAAAAAAAAAAAAAAGACATCCACATGCTGGAACGTTAATGCGATTTTTTTTTTTTTTTTTTTTAATGCTAGTTCACTCATTAGTGGCGGCAAGTCCATAAAAAGATGTGATCAGGGTTTGACTATTTTTGCAGATTTTAAAGTAGGACAAAGGGACATCATTAGCCAGCTATTAGTAGTCGTAGAAAGTTTCAACTTCATAACTTCATCGCGTTTTTTGAAGCGAATGTTTTTAATGGCTTTTGACTTGCCGTGATGCATTCACGTGGAGAAAAAGTTCGCCGCAGTCACCGATACGCATAAACACACTGGTGCAGAAGCTGCTGTCGGCCCCAGCTCACACCCAGACACTCACGCACACACCGCTGACATCACACGGCCCCGCCTCTTCACTCATTAACCACCTTGGACCTTTATTTCCGTTGTTGGAATCCAACCGTTTGTTGCCACCGATCGATACATTTGTCTGGTGCGTTCGTTCAGCTTGTCTGTGAAATTCCGATTTGTAAACCAGTGTAATGCCTCACACATCTCTGTAGATGGCGCCGTTTTCATCCCAATATTCTGTGGGTCTTGAAAGATAAAAAAATGCAGTAGCCTTGGGTGCCAGTGCCAACAGTGCCTTTTATTTTTTTATGGGCTACCAACACCGACAAATACCTTCGAGTGTTTTTCGGCGGGCCGCACGGTGGCCAACCGTCCGTCACATCTGCCTCACAGTTCGCAGGTTCCGGGTTCAAACCCTACCCCCTGTTCTCCCCTGTCTGTGACCAGTCCAGGGCCTACCCTCCCTCTCGCCTCAAACTGTTGATCGGCTCCAGCTCACCCAGCAACATAATGAGACCAAACGTTGTAGAAAATGGATAAACAGATGATTCCCCCCCCCCCTCCCCCCACGCCCTTTCAGATTCGCTCATCACAGACTTCAAAGGTGCTCATTTGTCACATTCTCCGATTGATGGGACCGCGGAGCGATAACGCAGACGTTCTAAACCGCCCGTCAGTACGTCGGAATGATGGAACGCTGTGATTCACGCGTCAGCGATCTTACAATGACGCCGCCTGACAAAAACCCCCTCCAGACGCGACCACACCATCAACCGAGTCCAAGCCCACCTTTTTTGATGTCTCTCCAAGCACCCAGCTAATGATTTTCCTTTCCTCCCTTCTTGTTCATTCATCCATTTCTCATTTATTCCTTTTCATGTGGCCGCCCCTTTTGAAATTTCATATTTATAGGCTTTGTGTTTGTGAAGTCAGACTTGAGGAATTCCCAGTGTGGGGTCCTGGGCCTCCTCTGAGCAGACTTCCTGTTCCAGATGAGCGAGAGTTAGAGAGAGTGAGCTTGCTGTTGTTTGGCCAGCCCAGCCTCCTCCTCCTCCTCCTCCTCGTCTTCCTCCTCCTCCTCCTCCTTCTTCAGACGGCAGGAATGTGGGATGTCTGGAGTGGGGGTCAGGAAGCCAGGAAAGAATGCCAAGTATGTCCATGTTTGTCCAGGGCTGCCCCCCCTTCCACACCCCTCAGCCTCCCGCCCTCCACCAAGGTGACGCCCCCCCCCCCGCCCCGAGGGCCAAGCTCTATAAAAGCGGCGGCCCTTCGCCTCCAGAACTCAGAGCGAGATCGACTCGAGCTAAACTCTAGCTTTCACCTCAAGAAGCGAAGGAGACACTCTACTCCGCCATCGACAAGAGATCAACTCGATCAAGGAAAACGAAGATTTACTCCCCCGCTGAAGGAAGAATCTTTTTTTTTTAATGCCCTTCAAGATGCCCGCTGTGAAGAAAATGATTTTGCTGCCGTTTGTGTGCGCCATCTTCTGGACCTTGGTAAGACTTTGTTTCTCTCACTCGCCCTTTTCCGTATGTTTGACGGAGGCGTCCGCTAAGTTGATTGTGGTCGCGTTTAGGCTGCCGGTCAGGAGTGCAGCGGCCAGTGCTCTTGCCCCTCCACGCCTCCCGAGTGTGCCCCCGGCGTGAGCCTGGTGCCCGACGGCTGCGGCTGCTGCCGGGTGTGTGCCAAGCAGATGGGAGAGCTGTGCACCGAGAGGGACCCCTGCGACACCCACAAGGGCCTCTACTGTGACTTTGGCTCGCCCATCAACAGACGAATCGGAGTGTGCACAGGTGAGGCGGCAGTCGCCATTTTAGGTCGATAACCTGCATCGTGACTGTCAGAGTTGATGGACAAGAAGCTAGACTTTCTTAAATAGAAGACAAACCATCAGTGTTGAAGTGTACCCTAAAAACCATCATTCTTATACTTTGCTAGAAAAAAAAAAATCTTGTTTTGTTAATCCCCCAAAAGATAAAAAAAAAAGAGACAAACTATTGGTGTTTACCGAAAAACTTGCACTTTCAGGCGTTAAAAAAAACAATATTGCCCTTTGCCAAAAACAGATGTCCTTTCCTAAAAAAAAAAAAAAAAAAAGTATTGATATTTACACTTTGCACGACTATTAAAACTCATTCAGTACCAGCCAATACTGGACCAAGTCTGAAAAGACGTTTAAAAACGTCTTTGGGAGTGAATGAGTTAAATGATGACATTTCTCGAAAAAGTTTTGATGGTGTTCCTTTCCTTGTACAACAAACAACAAACTCTTGATGTTTGCCGTTTGCTGGAAAGAAGACAAACTGTTGGTGTAGCACTTACTTAAAAAAAGAAGAGAAAACAACTGATGTCTATGCGTCGATACTGTAAATCATATCTTGACCAAGCCGCACTAAAATAAGTCAAAATGTGGCAGTCACAATGACCCAGGAACATTTTTTTTTTTTTTTTGCTCTATGTGACAGGTCAAAATGACCAATTTTAAGTTCACAAATAAGCCCAGCTGACATGTTTGACTTCCTTGAGTGTTTTATTTTTGCACATTCATCCCCACATTGACTTGCCTTTATGAATGCTTCATTTCCTGTGCGCCACCCCTCGCAAAAATAAATAAATGAACATTTTGATTTTTGTGTTTGCAGCGCGAGAGGGCGCCACCTGCGTGTTCGGAGGAATGGTGTACAAGAGCGGCGAGAGCTTCCAGAGCAGCTGCAAGTACCAGTGCACCTGCCTGGATGGGGCGGTGGGCTGCGTGCCCCTGTGCTCCATGGACGTGCGTTTGCCCAGCCCCGACTGCCCTGCGCCCCGACGCGTCAAGGTGCCCGGCAAGTGCTGCGAGGAGTGGGTGTGCGACGCCCCGCAACACACAAACAGCTTCATGGGCTCAGTCTTACCCGGTGAGTTATCGCTAATCGGATCCCGCCTGAGCCGCTTCCCCTCCGGAAAGGTCGACTAATCGGGCTGTTTTCTTCCTGTTTGCGTTGCGAGCAGCTTACCGCCAAGAGGAGACCTATGGCCCCGATCCGTCCATGATGCGAGAGAACTGCTTGGTGCAGACCACCGAGTGGAGCGCCTGCTCCAAAACGTGCGGGCTGGGCGTCTCCACCCGGGTCACCAACGACAACCGCGAGTGCCGCCTTGAGAAGCAGAGCCGCCTGTGCATGGTGCGCCCCTGCGAGTCCCATCTGGAGCAGAGCATCCGGGTCAGTACTCCAGTCCAAAGGCACCACCGTGTTCAGATACGCAGGCGAAACCTTTTACAATCAAATAGATTTTTATTGATTTATTTTTTTTATTTTTTTGCAAGCTAAAATATTATACAATATCATGGATTTAAATAATAGTTATATTATTTGTAATCTCAGTCATTTTTTTTCTTGTAATATTAATAAAAATACATTTTTTTAAAAGTAAAACAATAAAATTAAATTAAAATTAAATACAATTGTGATTATTACAACCTAAAAGACAAAAAAAAAATACTTGAGAAAATACCTTTGTAATTTTATTCAGAGTCTGAAATACTCATCAAAGAAAAGTAAGACAAGATGAATGCGTGTTTTTTTCTGCATTTAAAAATAAAATTAAAACAAAATATCCAACCGAAAATACCTTTTTTTCATCGTAAAATAAAATACCAAAAAAAGGAAAATAAAACAATCATGTGATATTTGAAACAAACTGAAAATGTGAAAGATTTGTTCCTCCAATCAAAAATAAAAACAACAAAAAATGAAAATACTAAATGTAAACAATGATTTTACATTTTAAAATCAAAATATAATACAACAAAATAATAATACAATCATGTGATTTATTTTTAGCTGCCACAAAGAGGGAAAAAAAAATTGTCATCATTTTGCAACTTAAAATCCAATCAAATTCAGCCGGCAATCAATGAAAACACAAACCATTAAATATCGATTGAAAATGAAAACAATTTTTCTTGCTTCTTATGCCAGAAAGGGAAAAAGTGCATCCGCACGCCTCGCCTGTCCAAGCCCATGAAGTTCGAGATCTCAGGCTGCACCACCACCAAGTCGTACCGCCCCAAGTTCTGCGGCGTGTGCCTGGACGGCCGCTGCTGCACCCCGCACAGAACCACCACGCTGCCCATGGAGTTCAAGTGCCCCGACGGGCAGGTGATGAAGAAGCACATGATGTTCATCAAATCGTGCGCCTGCCACCACAATTGCCCCGGCGAAAACGACATCTTCGAGTCTGTTTACTACAAGAAGATGATGGGCGACATGGCGTAAAGGAAGGGCCGACGGCTGCTTTGTCACTTGAAAACAGAACTCATCTCGCAGCTCCCGTCCGAATATACACAAGCCTCCTTTTTTGTGCTTGCTTTTGTCAGACTAGCCACACGCGCACTGCGTGTGTCGCATCTATTTGTGCGTTGCGGCTCTGTGCACTTTTCAGACAGAGGGAGAGATTCCTGCACTAATAATATTGTGGACAACATGCCCCGTCCTTTTTTTTTTTTTTTGAACGTCAAAATCTTGACCTGCCCTCTTAATGGGGTGTATAATGCCCCCCCCCCCCCCTACCGAGACGGGCAAATGCATCGCAACCACAGCGGGCCACTGCTCCTCTTTGTGTGTCCATGTATGAATGTATCTGTGTGTGTGTGTATGTGAGCAGAGGCCTCAACATGGGTCTTGTGTAAAGGTCAGCGTTTCCGTCCGGACACAAGTGGGCGTAAGCGACCACGGCACTGAGATCTAAGAAAGATGACTAGAAGAAGAGGAAGAAGAAGACTGGAAGGATTTTGAGTTCATTCCGAGCAGAAACGTGTAAATGGTGTATATATTTGTACAGTGTAAGTTAATTTAAAAGCCGTCATTGTTCTGTGCTTTTTTTTGTTTTGTTTTGTTTTTTTTTTCCAAAATGTATCAATAGTTTTCATTTGGATGACAGTATTTTGTACTATTTTATTGAACAGTGTGACAGGTTGTTACATGTGTCGCTTTGTAGCTGGAAATAAAAACGTTATATTTTTTTAGACAAACTTTCTTTCTTGAGACTCAAGACATCCAAGTGATCAAGCAAAGAATCTCATAACTCATACTTAGTTTTACACACACACACACACACACACACACACACACACACACACACACAAACAGTATTAAAATGCAAAAATATCTTGTTCAAAAGCAGTTTATAAAACCGAAACTGCAGTACACAGTCCAGGTGTATGAACAAAATACAGTATAACAAAAGACTAGTTACAAAATGCAAAAACAAGGTCCAAATACTGTTTATAAAAAACACTAATTACAGTATACTGTATTTAACTACAGTGTACTGTATTGTATTTTAATGTTGTTTTTTTTCCATCTTGGGGGGGAAAAAAAAATCTGTATTTTGAGTTGTTGTATTGGCTTCATTCTTTACTGAATATTCTTCAACCAGGGAGCTTTTCTTGACGCTCGCTCACTGTCTCTCACTTGACCTCCCCTCCCCACACATGACAGCATTGCTCAGCTGATGTCATGCAACGAACTTTTGAAACCTGGCACGGGACGCTTCCAAGTCCTCTGTACCCATTTACATACGCTGTGGTGCGAGCCTTCACTCTAATTAGCGGTCCAGTTAGATTTTTCGCATGTCAATAGTTCGACAATTCCACGAGACGTTTATTTCCTCCACTGTACTTCGTCCGTCGAGCCACAAGCAATTTTCTGTGAGTGGGTAAATTGCCAGAATCGTACAAAGCAAGAATCGATTTCTTGTTTTTCAAAGTCTCGTAGATTTATGTCTTTCCGACTCCCAAGTGTCTCTTGAATGTTTTTTACTTTGTATCCCGCTTCGCTTAATCGGATGCATTTCACTCTCTCTTCCACAGGACGTAAATGTATCCACCCATCCATCTACTTTTTGATCCGCTTGATCCTTACAAGGGTGGCGGGGGGTGCTGGAGCCGATCCCAGCTGTCTACGGGCAAGGAGGCGGGGGACACCCTGAACCGGTTACCGGCCAACCTCAGGGCACACAGAGACGAGCAACCGTCCGCGCTCACACTTGGACCTCGGGGACAATCGTGAGTGTTCCGTTAACCTGCCATGCATGTTTTTTGAATGTGGAAGGAAACCGGAGTACCCGGAGAAAACCCACGCAGGCACGGGGAGAGAACATGCCAACTCCACACTGGGAGACCAGAGGCGGAATCGAACCCGACACCTCTGTACGGTGAGTTCCACCACTCGTCCACCAGACCGCGAAGTAAATGTAAATGAATAACAAAAGTTTTCGCAATTATAGTCAAACTCATGCCATTAAAGAGTCAATTACATGTCGCCGTTTTGGATCAGATGCTAGAAAATAACGCAGCGGAAACAGTTATTCCGTAGTATCGAGCGAGAACTGCTTGAGTTTGCGCAACTGCCGTCTTCCGTATGGCTTCCGGGTGTAGGAACTTCCATTGTAAGGAATCGATCGGCAAAAAAAAAAAAAAAAAAAGAAAATGTAATGCCTACGTTTTTTTTTTCCCCCTGAGTAAAGGAATTTCCGGCTCTCTCTCTTTCTCTCTCTCTCTCTCTCTCTCTCTCTACATATATATATACACACACACACACACACACACACACACAAATATATCCGTCCATTTTCTAATCCGCTTATACTCAGGCATGTTTTTGGAATGCCGGGGGAAACTGGAGTACTCCTGATGGCTGACATGGTGGCGACCGGCACACGTGTCGTAAACAAGCAGTGCGGTTGTAAAGCATGAATTCAACGGCCTTGGAATAACTCTCGATAAACCTTTGCCCTTTTCTATGGCTCCTGTACCGGGACCATGACGAGGGGATGGCCATGACAGGGATGGGGAAAATTTATTCACATCTTTATCATTGGATTTTTTTTCCAAATGAGTCACTCTCAACTCAACACCATTTTATTTTTGTGGGAATGGGAGGACAACAAAATCACCAAATTCACCCCAAGTGAGTGTATCTTTAACAGTAAAATCAAAACCTATTGTGCAGGACATTTAAAATCTGAACTTATTCAGATTTTTCATAATTGGTCTCATTTGAAATGGTTGTGAAGTTTAAAATGTGGAACACGTGAGAAACACAGCAAAGTGTCGTATGTAACACGTGAGAAATTCAATGCCATTTTGTTTTTGTAGCAATGGGAGAATGTGATTTTTTTTTTTTTTTTTAAACTCTAGACAAGTGAAAAAACACCGGCGTCTTCACTCATGCAAAACAGTGAACAACATTGCTACCTGAGGTGAGAAACCGCAATTACGTTCTTTCCAGGTGGAATGAAAAGCTGAATTAACAGGAGCGCGATCTCGGCGCCAACTGTAACGTCGTCGTGCTGCTTATCTTCAATTGTTTGTCCGCTTGATCGTTAAATGTAGGCCTGGTGCGCTCGTGCTAGTTTACTGGATATTGACGTTATTGGTGTTTTTTTAAATGTCAAGCGGAAGTCAAGTTAAAAATGTCTTTACAATAACATGGCATTCAAATTATCACTATGTTTGTGGTTGATGAATTAAGCAGTAAGCCCCGCCCATTTTAAAATCTATCTCAGCGGCGGCTGCCATTTTTGTCCGAGACTGCCACCTGCCACCATTCGGTTCCAATGTCAAATTTCCGGCCTGAATTTGGGGCCCAGTGCGTTGCCGCAAATCCGACTACTCGTCTTTCCGTTTCAAGCCAATCTTACCCCTCCGTGATTTGGATCGCCAACATGGCGGATGAACAAATACAGATGACGTGAAAACTGTCTTGGGAGTGATTTTCCACCACGCCCAAGATATGTTGTGTGTCAGTGTCATCCACCATGAGAAGAGTGAATTCCTGATATCGGTAATGATAAAACAGTGCTCATCACAAACTTTGTGATGCATCATATTGTCTAATATAGATATGAGGAAGGAGCCGGCTTTGTGTGTGTGTGTGTGTGTGTGTGTATGTATGACATAACACAAAAGTTAAACTTGTCTTCATCACAAACTTTTTAATGGATCATACTGTAAAATATTGATATGAGACCCAAAGATAAGTACGGGTGTGTGTGTGTGTGTGTGTGTGCGCGTGCGTGTGCGTGTGCGTGTGTGCACCTGTGTGTACTTTGGTCTTGCTCATAAAAGAGTATTTATCTGAGAGGTTCGTCGATTCAGTCGCGGTCAAGTTTCTCGAAGGCGTCACCGCCACAAGCAAATCAGTCTTATGTTTGTCAGTTACGATTATTATTATTATTATTATTTTTAAGATTGTCAATTTGTTTTTTTTCTCTGGTTCGGACATTGGAAGAGCAGCCATGATTAGCCGGAACTTTAAGAACGTGCTGGTGGTGTCGCTGGGCTTTCTGTCTCTCTTCACAGCGTACGGCGGACTCCAAAGCCTGCAGGTTCAATACAAACTTGTTCTGATTTTTATTTTATTTATTTTTTTAAATTGTTTGGACACATTCATATTCTTTTATAAAATGTAAAATGATGAATGAGTTTGGGGAATTGTATGAGCCTGTTTTTTTTTTTTTTTTTTTTTAAGGTATTTTGCCTAAATGGACATAAGCAAAACAGATAATCTCCAATTATTCGCCATTTTTTTCTCTCATTAAATCTTGAGGATTTTTTTTTTTAATCACTATTTTTACGATGCGGTAAATTTAGTTTTGATCTCATTCACTTCAATCTGTTTTTTTAATTTCAATGATTTAAAATAATGGTGTTGAAGCTACGGGACAAGAAAAAAAATGATCAATGTTTCTTTTGTTCTTCGTTTAAATAATTTTGATCTGGCTTTATTTTCGCAGTAAGTATTAATATGAAAATGTTGATCAAATCATGCATGAGGTGTCTGTGTTACAAGCAGCTTAACTTACTGTAAGCACGGCTTAAAAGACCCCTTATGATCACACACACACACACACACCCCCTACACCCATGGGGCCCAGTCGGGTGAAGACCACCTCTGGGAGGGGCCAAAGGGGTCGGGTGCAAAATGATCTGGAAGAAGTAACTGCGGACTGGGCTTCTCTGCTAAAGCTGTTGCCCCCGCGACCAAACCACGGATAACCGGTTGAAAATGGATGAATGGATTAAAAAAAAAAAAAATGCTTTTTAATCATTCTTTTACTTTGAATCACCTTGGCATTTTTATTGTACTTCTTGGTTACCATTATATAATCCTGTCAACTTTTACGAGTCATGATTAAAGTAACGTTTTGGTTGAGTCAGACGTACTGCCCGCCAAATGTTTCCAACAATTTCTTTTTAAAGTCTACTCCCAAATCAAGGGTGGGGGGAATGTTTGTGGTCAAGGGCCACATTTGATTTTTAAAACACACACACACACACACACACACACACACACACGTTTATGTATGGCGCTTCCCTATTCAGAGCAGCCTGAATGCGGAGGAGGGCATGGGCGTGGCGTCTCTGAGTGTCATCTACGCGTCCATCATCCTCTCGTCCATGTTCCTGCCTCCCCTCATGATCAAAAACCTGGGCTGCAAGTGGACCATCGTGGCCGGCATGGCCTGCTACGTCTCCTACTCCTTCGGGAATCTCTACCCGGGATGGTAAGAACCTTACGTATGCAGTACATACGGTTGTTCATGTTCTCCACTGGTTTTATCCCAAATAGAACATTCTTTGGGAAGGACTCTTTTCCTCAGTTCGACATGTCCATTTCTCAGGTACACGCTCATTCCCACCTCTGTGATTCTGGGTTTGGGAGGCTCCCCTCTGTGGTCGGCTAAATGCACATACCTGACCATCTCCGGCAACATGCAGGCGGCCAAAGAGTCCAAGAAGGCTCCGGATGTCATCAATCAGTACTTTGGCATCTTCTTCTTCATCTTTCAGTCGTCCGCCGTGTGGGGCAACCTCATGTCCTCGCTCATCTTTGGACAGGACACCAACATAAGTAACAATCGCCGAAACTGCGCCTACTCGGAGCATATTGATGCAAATGAACTGACTTGTCGTCCCCATGGGACTTAAATCCAAATTATGATGAAAAAAAATGTGACCAAAATTCAGTTAAAATGTATTGATGAAGAAAATGCAAATACATATAAAGTAATAATTGGACAAATATAAAATGGGGAAAAAAACACAAACATGTCAAGTGGCAATATTTTTCAAAAGAAATGTAAAACTATTCAATAAAATGTGAAACAAAATGTAAGCAAAAATGTCAAAAAAAGAGATTTGAAGAAAGTTGAAATGCAAGAAATATCTGTAAAATTATTCAAAAACAAAAATTGTACAAATTAAATACAGACAAAATATTAAGGAAGAATGGCTAAATTATCAACAACATAAAAACTATTAAAGCAAAAAAAAAGTGAACAAATATTGAATAAAAATACCACAAAATATTAATGGATACACAAAAAACATTAAGAATGTAAATTTTGGGAAGGAGGGACATAAGACACAATTTCGCAAGAATGCAGAGCATTCAAATAATCTAGATGAAAACAAGTCAAATTGAAACAGTTCTTTCATAAAAATATAGAATTTAAGTACAAGTAAAAAAAAAAAAAAGAAAAAGTAAAAGCATTCATAAAATCAAAGAAACACATTGAATCAAACCGGAAAAATGACAACAAATTCCACCATGTTGATGTCGCTAACATGCCACGTGACGTCATGTGTTGCCAGCGGTCATTTCGGACGAGCAGCTGCAGACTTGCGGGGCTGGAGACTGCGGCCTGACGATCACCTCCAACAGCACCACAAGCAGGCCGGCACAGGAACTAGTGTGGACCCTGGTCGGATGCTACATTGGTAAGATCAACGCTAATCCATTTTGGACCACGCGTCGTACGTAGCTAATAAGATGATTACGAACGACGCGTATGCGGACGGAAAGATTATTTATTTTTTTTTTTTTTTGGGATAGAAAGCAAAAAAAAAAAAAAAAAAAAAACCCACATTTGTCGACATTTCAAACCGTAGCATTCGGAATCGATTAGAGATTTTCCGGATGTGTTTTCCGGTTCTTCAACAAAAACAACAACGTCATGCTTCTTATCCGATTAGAAAAATAAAGATGTTTCTCTGTTTTTTTACAATAAAAATACTTTCAATAATATCTTTGTTGTGTTGAAAAAAGCAGTGGACGCTTTTTTTTTTTTTTTCTTCCCCCCCCATTCGATCCTAAACTTCTTCGTTGTTATCCAGGTGGGAAAAAAAATCGTACAATTCTGAATCGGTAGAAAGTAGAAACATCGTCACAGCTTCTGATTCGGTCCCGAAGACCACTTTGCGGTCAACATTCTCGTAAAAAATATGTCAAATGTTAAGACGGGCGACTAGCGTGTTTGTTGTTCTACTTCCTGGACAGGCGTTGGTTTGTTGGCCATGCTGATCGTGGCCGTGTTCCTGGACAACATCGACCACGAGCAGACCAGCCGTTTCCGTGGCAACCGCGAGCCCTTCTGCCACACCTTCCTGGCCACCTTCCGTCTTCTGAGGGACTGGAGGTTGCTCCCCCTCATCCCGCTCACCATGTACAGCGGCTTTGAGCAGAGCTTCCTGTCTGGAGAGTACACCAAGGTGAGGTGTACGTCACAGATTTTTTTTTTAAAAGTCTTTGAATGATCATTTCGCGTTGCGTACCTTCAGTGGAGTAATCACATTGTAAGCGTTTACCGCTCTGCCGCTATCTTGTTGCATCTCGGTGCCAATCAACTATGTTGAAGTGAGTTGAGGAGCTTCGTTTCAACCAAATGAATGCTTTGACGGCACTTTGTGGCAAGTAAAGGCAAAACCTTTTGGGGGCGGGGCATCAATCGCGCTGGGATTTTTTTTCACTGTTTGCGCCAGGACTTTTTGTTTTTTATTTATTTATTTATTTTCCCACCCCCGCCGCCTCTCTCTTACTTCTTACTTTATTTTCACAATTCAGCAACAATATTTTACGTTTGTGCCATTTATTTTTGCTTTTTTAGCGGCCTTGGCTAACTTCTCGTGCATTATCGCAATGTTGTACTGGAGGCCTCATCCTGACCAGTTGGGTGTGTTCTTTGTGTTTCCCGCCTTGTGGGGAATGGCCGACGCCATCTGGCAGACGCAGACGAACGGTCAGGAGACACAACAAAAATCGTTTACCTGTTTTTTTTTTTTTTTTTGGATACAGTAATCCCTCCTCCATTGAGTTACAAAGAAAAAAAAAAAAAAAAAACCCACATTTGTCGACATTTCAAACCGTAGCATTCGGAATCGATTAGAGTTTTTCCGGATGTGTTTTCCAATTCATCAACAAAAACAACAACGTCATGCTTCTTATCCGATTAGAAAAATAAAGATGTTTCTCTGTTGTTTTACAATAAAAATACTTTCAATAATATCTTTGTTGTGTTGAAAAAAGCAGTGGACGCTTTCTACTTCCTGGACAGGCGTTGGTTTGTTGGCCATGCTGATCGTGGCCGTGTTCCTGGACAACATCGACCACGAGCAGACCAGCCGTTTCCGTGGCAACCGCGAGCCCTTCTGCCACACCTTCCTGGCCACCTTCCGTCTTCTGAGGGACTGGAGGTTGCTCACCCTCATCCCGCTCACCATGTACAGCGGCTTTGAGCAGAGCTTCCTGTCTGGAGAGTACACCAAGGTGAGGTGTACGTCACAGATTTTTTTTTTAAAAGTCTTTGAATGATCATTTCGCGTTGCGTACCTTCAGTGGAGTAATCACATTGTAAGCGTTTACCGCTCTGCCGCTATCTTGTTGCATCTCGGTGCCAATCAACTATGTTGAAGTGAGTTGAGGAGCTTCGTTTCAACCAAATGAATGCTTTGACGGCACTTTGTGGCAAGTAAAGGCAAAACCTTTTGGGGGCGGGGCATCAATCGCGCTGGGATTTTTTTTCACTGTTTGCGCCAGGACTTTTTGTTTTTTATTTATTTATTTATTTTTGTCACGTTGTTATCCTCTGACGTTAAAAGAAGCTAATTTTGACAAAGTGAGGAAAAGAAATTCAAAGTACAGATACCTCAAATGTTCAAAGTGTTTGGACTTTGCTGCCCACAGCTGAGAGTGAAGTGAGTGTTTTGTTGGTTTCAGAACTACGTGACGTGCGCGCTGGGTATTCACTACGTGGGCTTCGTGATGATGTGTTTCGGGGCATCCAATTCCGTTTGCTCCTTCCTCTTTGGGCGATTGGCACGCTACACTGGCAGAGGGGCGCTATTCTTTTTTTTTTTTTTTTTGGATACAGTAATCCCTCCTCCATTGAGTTACCCCGAAAAATCAGTTGTGAAACTGTAAATAGATAAATAAATGAAGGAAAAATAACTGCGTTGTGATACTGGAATTCTCAATGGAGAGGGGTTTACTGTATTTATCATATCTGTAGAATTTGTTGTCTTCGTTGTGATATCAATTCAACAAATACAGTCAAACCTCGCTTTTCGAATGTCTCTGTTATCGACCAAATCGGATTTCGACCAGAAAATTCAAGATTTTTACGCCTCGGATTACTACTGAAAACTGGTTTTCGACCAAAGTGAGCAAACCCGAATACGCCAATTGACTCCTCTCGGCTTCCTTACACAAGGAAGTGTCACACAAGCAACTGACGCTTCCTCGTGTAGTGTTCATTGTGAGCAGACGTGTTTGTTGTGATTTACGCAAATCTGACTGTTTTTTTTTTTTTTTTGTTATTTCTGCATAGTGTATTAGCCCCTAATCATAGGCTAATGAAATAGTTTCGGATTTCGAACAAATCGCTTTTCGAACAGCCTCATGGAACGGATTATGGTCGAAAACTGAGGTATGACTGTACTTTGTATTTTATTCATTTTTGTCATTGTTGTGGCAGCTCTGTACGGCATCTTGTTTCCCGCCGAGAAGGAGGCTGCCTTCGCCAACTACCGCATGTGGGAGTCTTTGGGCTTCGTGATTGCGTTCGCGTACAGCACCTTCCTGTGTCTGGAGTACAAACTGTACATCCTACTGGCCGTGCTACTGCTGACCATGGTCACCTACCCGGTGGTAGAGTATCACGAGTACAAGAATCCCACGAAAGCCGAGGACGGCGGAGACTACAAAGAAGCCATCGCCATGGACAACAGCAAAGTTTACTGTCAGACTCAACTCTGAACGAACAATGACTAATGTAAGATGCTGCCATCATCCCAACACTCGCCGAACTCTAGAATAGAAGAGCAAACTGCTCACATGGTCCAAGATGGGAAGATGCTTGGCTGAAGAAGTCAACAGTTCTCTTAAAAATAGATTTTTTTATCTCTGCACAATCAGAATGTCATTCTCCGTATTTGTTCAGATCAACTCTGATTTTATTTCCAAAATCAAGTCGATTTTTTATTCTGAATATAAAGGCAGTACAATTGCAGTGAAAAATATATATTTTTTGTAAAACTGAATACAACTTTATTCTTATTTATATATCATAAGCAGTTTCCCTTATCCCGATCTGCTCTCCATATTCTCTCTCATGCTGCAGTCTGACAGTGTGTTATTTGGCAACATAAGCCATTTTATGAAACCCTAAATGTTGGTTGGTTAGGATTTTCTGCCTCCTAAAAATGTCCTACAATGGATCAAATGTGTGTGTGTTTAATTGAACTGCCACAAGCGTCACCTGAACGAATTTCATCTTATACTTTTGTAAAGTGAAAACTGCATCATAAACCCATTTTAAATTATTGTATTACATACAGACCCCTGTTATGGAATACATAACCTTATTCATAATCAAGCAATAGACCGTCGTCAGGGTGAAGTCAACTCTTAAAAATACTTTGCTGCCCTCTTGTGGACAACTACTGCACTACACTTCAAGAGGCGGAGTTCAGTACAGGTATTGAAAAAAAATAGAGCAGCGTTTAGCTTGGTCTAATTAACACAGGTGTCAAACTCCGGTCCTGGTGGGCGACTGTGCTGCATGTTTGTATCTGTGTCTCTGGTAACGATATGTGTGATGTGGATTCCCTGAATAATGAGCACTACCTTTGACATTTAAAATGTTTGCTTGTAATTCATGTTTCAAGTGTCTTTTAATATGTGGCGAAATTGTTTGAAAGTTACATATTCGTTTTATCCAGTCTTGTGGATACCGTTAAAGAGACACCAAGAACCACCGGATTAATTGCTCTGAAAGCACTGTAAGAGAATAAAATCTCGCGAGATCACGAAACTTTATTTTCTACCTGCCCCCCCCCCCCCAATAAATCACAAATGATTTGCGTGGCTGTGTACAAGTGAATTTGAGCCATTAACTTTGTGCATTTCGTTGGTTGTCGATTCAAAAAAATCAATTTGCGCACGTTGTTTTAATGTTTACCCACCACATCCAACATGGCTGACGTGTTGACGTCTCACAGCCACGGAACAAGACGCTCAAAAAGAAGGCAACGTTGTGACCGTGATGTACTTCAAATCTCGCGACACTCGGCCTCGCTCCTTGTCTACCTGCGCCTCAGCTCCCGCCCCCTGTCCAACCTCCCTCCCTCCCCTCTCGTCTTGATTGGCCGCGTTCAAAGTCCAATGTTTGGCCGAGGACGGAGGAAGGAGGGGGGCCTACAATCACCGCCGCTAATTCCAGCCGCTCCTCTGAGGCTTCAATCCCGCTAAAGAGGCTTACCAGCCCGGTGGCAGGAGGGCATTCAACGGCGCGAACGCAAAGTAGGACTCTTGTTTCCGGCTATACGGCTGGAATATTCGAGCAAAACCAACCTGGCTCTTCACCTCTCGTTCCGGTGTCTCGCTTGTTGCGCTCCGCGTTTCCTTTCGCTTTGGTTCAGGGTGATGTCCGGCGTGGGCTCGATGACACCGCTCAGGTCTTAACCACTCGATGAGTGTCAGCGACGGAATGTGTGCGTGATTTCACGGCTTCCCGTCTTTTTTCGTTACTTTGGACATTTTGCTACCTCTACGATGTGTTTTAACACCATCCCTCAAATGAGGCTTGGTTGAGCGTTCTCCCCTCCTTCGAAGTAATTTTCCAGACATATCGAGCCATGGCCAAGAACCAGTCTGAGACGGCGGGCGACGACCTGGGCCAGCTGACCGACGACGAACTCCTTCGCGGTGGGAAGGAGGAACTCCTCCGCTTGCTGCGCCGCGTCGATGGCGAGAAGATGAACCTGATGATCGAGCACGGCAACCTGATGAAGGACATCAACCGGCGGCTCCAGGTGCACCTCCACGAGATCCGCAGCCTGAAGGAGGTCAACCAGAAACTCCAGGACGACAACCAGGAGCTCCGCGAGCTCTGCTGCTTCCTAGACGATGACCGGCAGAAGGGCAAGAAGCTGTCCCGGGAATGGCAGCGCTTTGGTCGCTACACTGCAAGCGCCATGTGGAAGGAGGTTGGCGCCTACATGCTGAAGCTCAAAGAGCTGGAGGCCAACCAGGAGACGGTTCTGCGGGAGAACACCGAGCTCAAGGAGATCATCCTCATGCTGGATGAGGAGAGGAACGGTCCGGGCTCCAGGAGCTCCATAGACAGTCAGTCCAGCCTAAGCAACCTCAACGGGGGCACCGGCATCATCCGGGACGTTGGGGACGGGAGCAGCACCTCCAGCGCTGGAAGCGCCGGGAGTCCGGACCACCACCACCACCACAATCACAACCATAACCACCAGCACAACCACGTGAACAAGACTGTCCCGGAGGCCGCCAAGTTGGGCCAACCCATGCGGAGGTCCATGGACGACATGTCGGTGCCGCACCATCACAGGAGCATCCCCAATGGACTCAATGGTGAGTGGATAAATACACAAATGTTTTCATGTACATGTTTGCCAGGCTTAAAGTGCTTTTAAATCAGCAGTTCTCAAATTAGGTGCTTGGGGTCTGCTAGTTGTTCGTTACATGTCCATGAAATTGTTATCTATCCATTTTCCATACCACTTATTCGTGTCGCTGGAGCATATCCCAGTTATTTTTTTTTTTTTAGGCGTGAACACACACAACTTTTTTGTCTATTTAGTAAACAGCCCTTCTCAAACTGGGGTCCCCGGGGGCTGTTGCCTGGTGGTCCTTAACAATAGATTATTATTATTATTATGTACGATATTTTAGAAAAAAAATAATGGACACCTAAACAAAAATGCAAAAGTTGACTGGTGCTGGTAAGAGAGAGCACATAACTTCTGGCATGAGATCCAATTAATTGTTTTCAAATCATTAAATGGCATCGCCCCACCTTACCTCTCAGAGCTCCTCCGCCCCTATGCACCTGCCTGCTGGCTCAGGTTTACGCACCAGACACTATTAGAGGCACCGAGAATTACGTGGAGGCCCAGAGGGGGATCGAGCCTTTTCCGTTACTGGTCCCTCTCTTTGGAATGACTTCCCACTTGTTAATGTTCATGTTTGCAAGGCTTGAAGCGGCGTTAAAGTAGTGAGTCTCAACTGGGGTCCCCATGGAGGTCCGCAAGTCAACTTGGGGGTCTCAGATATGATGAGCAATAAGTTTTTATGTTGCACGAGTTTTGAAAGTGCAAATTGGGGACGTGTCGCGCCAATAAAAGCAACAGGAGAAATCATTAACACCTATGCTTTGGGATAATTAAGTTTTGATTTGATTGTGATCCTCCATGAGTACCCAATACCCACACCTGATTTCGATACTCGCCCATTCCCAATTTTAAATTACGAGAACATAAAATGTTTCTTCAAGGTCCGTATTATGATAGTCTCCCGTGATTTGCGATTTAAAAAACAAAACACCCACAACCGGTTAATGCGTAGCTAGCATGTGTGCGACGATGGCAGTGCCATATGCTGATCAAAATTGCTTTTAAAGGATTATGGTGGTGGTTGGCGGGAGGCTACTTTGATTAACCCCACCACCAAATCTTGATTGGGGAGATTAAATCGGCATCCCGAAATGGGAATTGTCGGTGAAGGTAGCAACAAATAGGAAAAAAAAAAAAAGCATGCAAGCTTGCACCAGGGAAACCTTAATCCCCATAGACACGCATGCACGCACACACACACATGCACACGCATATTTTTAACGCTGTTTAGCTGTCTTTACGTAACATCGGTATTATATACCCCCCCACCCCCACCCCTAAGCTGCTGTATGGCTCACAGTGCTGTACATCGCTTGAAGTGTGAATTGCTTTGTTTGGATCGGCTGTAATTGCATCTCCAGCCATGTCGCCGATTTTTTAAAAATTTTTCATTCATTTTTATTTTTGCCACTTAGAAGACAACTAAACTCCACCCCAAAAAAAGTCATTGTCAGAGATCAGTTACAATATATGCCTGTGAGTGTTGTTGTGTGCTTCTCCTTTGTTAAAGTAGCAGTTGTTTGAAGGTTGTTACCGTAATGTCGATGCAAATATATATATTATATATTGTAATACATTGCTGCCCAGTGGCTAAGTCGCATACAAACGATGAACCGTGATGTGGTGATGGGGGCGGGGGGAACTCTATGAACTTTAATTCATAACTTATATTGGTAGAGGACAGTGAGAAAGAAAGATACCCCAGCCTCATTGTAGCTTGCTGGGTCGGTGGAGTCATTGGAAGTGTGGGGGGGGGGTTCTTGCCTGGGAAACCTTAAAGGGGGGCTGGGTTGTCTCAAAAGAGGTTTCAGGGAGGAGGTCGGGGGGGAAGGGGGCTGCTGTCCACGTAATTGAATTTCTGTCGAGACCCCGTCCCAACCCTTTCTTTAGGCGTCCAGCTTGTGTGTTTTTATTGCACAGTGTGTGTGTGTGTGTGTGTGTGTGCGTGCGTGCGTGCGTGCTGTGGTTCAGGCATCTGTTGTGAGATGACAAAAAGAGCAGAACTTTGTCGGTTATAACTTCAAATTACAGCCAGTGAGCCCCCCCCCCCCCCCCGATTCTTGACTTGGATTTGGACAGCTTTTGTGTCTTTGTTTTAGTCCAGTCTCAATTGACAACTTAATTACCCTCTCAAATGGATGAATTTGTTATTGATTATTGTTCTGAATGTTTTTCTTGACTGGTTTGAACTTGTTTCTACTGGTTCTTGACTTGGTTTGGAGCATTCAAAACACCCGAGACCGGACAGTAGTTGTTCTTAGTTTTTCGTCTTGGTGGAGTCACGGTTAACCCGCCTGATACACAAGCCAGGTTGAAATGAGTCCCTAATCAAGTGACTGGGGAATCGCCCGTTTTTCAAACAGACTTCCTGAGCAGCCAGCAAGTGACGTATGAGGTGCCTCCCACCCTTGGGAGAATTCTCTGCCTCCTTGATTTCCACTTTGCTTCTCTCCTTCGCCCTCGGGGAGAGACGTGACCTAAAAGCTCTCAATGAAACCGTAGAAGCAGCTCTCCCGGTCGGCCACCAACGTGGCCGCTTTTGCGGCGCTGGTAACCAATTAGTCCTTCATGTTTCTGGGTCGTTGCGGTCGGGGAGACTTCGGAGCATTTTGCCGGCGTTTGTTCATATCTGCTGTGAGTTCGCCGTCAATTTAACAACAAAGGGGACCGGAGACCTAAGACCCGTCACACATGTTCTACCAGCCGGAAGCAGCATGTTGCTTCCAAACTTTATGAACAGGTCGACAGGTTGCTGAAGGGCTAATGACACAATCGCTTTGGTTTCCTCGTGAATGCGCTTTCAGTTCATTGTGCGTCTAAATGTTGTCTAGCCGGAATTGGATGTTTGTGTCGCTCATATCCTGCGCCCGGTCTCGTAACCTGTCGTTGACAAAGCGAGAGCGCGGGGGACAGATAGGGTTTCGCTTGAGGACTCTCTGGCTTGCGTCGAACCGGCGGCCCACCGTGGCTAGCTGATAATGTGGATTAAAAAAAAAACAAGAGTACACACACACACACTCGTTCACACGCGCACACACAAAAAGCCCTGCGGGGGAAACTCTCAGCTGTGTACTGTCAATGAAAAGCTAGCCCGTCAGGATGTCCCACATTCCTGCACCAACAAAAGAGGGCGGCGTGTCATCCTGGTGGCGCGGCAGACTCCACAGAAACAGGAAAGTGGAAAAACCAAAGGAAAAAATGGATTTGAGTCGCGTTTCCGTGCATATTCGCTATTTGCATTTTTGCCTATACAGTGGTACCTCTACTTAAGCAATAAATTGGTTCTGGAAGAAATTTATCGAGAAAATGTTCTAAGTAGAGGCGCGTTTTCCATGTAAATGCCCTAATCCGTTCCAAATTCAGACATGAATGTTTTCTAAAGCATAAAAAGGCATCAAAAATATGTAACAAATACATGTTACGATTAGATGATTGCACAATAAATAAGAGTTGTGCATAATGTAAAAAATAAAGAATAAAAATGGTCATTTAACTTTTAACTGCGTCCTCATCGTTTTTTGCCCTCTTTAGTTCATGTTCTCTCTCAAAAGTGCTTTTTGCCTGGACGTTTGCTTTTGTCGGCTTTTAACAACCCTTCAAAAATGTCCAAGGCAAACATCGGCCAAGTGAGCGACCGCCCGACTGGTGAACACTTTTTCTGGGTGATTCACATTTACGTAAAACTATCGGAACGCCTCCTGGGCGAATGACATGGACGCTGCATCAACACCTTTCTATCTATCGTCACACATACGGTAGAGGTCCGTCTTAGCCAATGAGATGCCAGGATGATGCTCGCGAATAGCCAGTGGCAGAGCAGCTAGAAGTATTTTGCGTTCAGGAAACTCTGAGCTGCGAATAGCAGGCCATACTGTATTTTTATCTTTGCTATCTTGAAATTTCTTTCGTAACAAGAGGCAATATTTTCCTGTTGAGGCGTTTCGTAACTTGAACATTTCGTATGAAGAGACGTTCGTAAGTATAGGTACCACTGTATGTATATAATAAATAAAATAGAGACCCTCTTAGCCACAATGTCGCACCATCACTCCCTTGTATTTACTTGCCACCAGTTCCTTTTCAGACGGTGCTTTAATGGGATAGGACATTTAGTTTCTGAAAGCCCGGAAAAACCCCTAACCCATGAATTTGTGAATTGTAAACTGCGAATCATGAGGGCGGGGATTACTCTCTCCCCAATCTTTTCCCTCCCAGTCTGCATTCATCTGTCTGGATTCCCGTCAACCTGCTGTCTGAGCCGCCTCATTCCCCCCCAAAAAAACTCAGCGTCAGCCGGCAGAATGCGGCGGGAGATTTGGCTCCGCCGTTTGATGTTATTCCAGGACTTCTATCGGGAAAATGCGTTCCGCAATCCCGCATGCTTTGTCTGGTGTGTCGGGATACGTCAAAAATTTCCCACTCTGCTTCAAATCAATTCCTGTGGCCTTGTTGCGGGCGGCTGGAGGGCCCGCTCAGTCGCCAGGGCAACGGCAATGATCATTGGGGCGAGGGGACGAGAGGCCCGGCTGGCCTCGGAATCACTGAAGCGGGAGTAAGGCTCGGCCGGGGGAGTTGGGCTGGTGGGGTGGGAGTGTCGACCCGCACGGAATGATGCCAGGCTCACTTAGGTCAGCTCTTTGTTTTGATGAAACCGCTAAAAACAAACACGAGGGGGTTCGGTCATTTTCACCAGTCGTCTGATGCGGAACTTTTCTCCTCATTAGTTGGTGACTGTAAATAAAGCCTTGTCACTTCTTTTATGTGGACAATAGATCGCTCTTTTGACATGTTCCAAGATAAGACTTCCCGGGAAGCATTCACGAAGCTTTCTCTTCGGAGAATGTTTTCACACTGACAGCATTTGACTACTTTTCGGGGCGGGGTTTATAGATGACTTTGGCTGTGTGTAACCAGAGATTAGGTCACAAATCCCTAATAGGCCGAATGGTAGCAACCAGT